ACAAACAATGAATCATGGAACACTACATCAAAAACTAATGATGTAATGTATGGTGATTAACATAACATAAACAAAAATTTTTTAAAAAGTGCTAAAATAGAAAAAAAAGTAAAAATTTGAAAAAAAATATAATAAAATCTTTTATTTAAAAAAAAACCTCATCTCTTGAGTGATGGCCTTTCAAGTGACTGGGAGCTGAACTTGGATTTGGTAACACTCTTAATGGGGTCTTTCACAGGGCAAAAGTGTTTAATTTTGATGAGGTCCAATTTATCAATTTTTCCTTTTATGAGTTTTGTCTTTGATGTTACTCTATGTCTCAAGGATTTCCTGTGTTTTTTACTAAAATTTTTATGGTTTTACATTTAAGTTCATGATACATTTTGAGTTGTTTTTTCTTTAAAATTTTATTTATTTGAGAGAAAGAAAGCATGAGCAGGGGGGAGGGACAGAGGGAGAGGGAGAAGCAGACTCCCCACTGAGCGGGGAGCCCGTTGCAGTGCTCCATCCCAGGACCCTGAGATCATGACCTGAGCCAAAGTCTGATGCTTAACCGACTGAGCCACCCAGGCACCACCTAAGTTTTAATTGAACTTATTCTAAGAATTAATGGTTCTCAATAAAAAAAAAGATTCTTTACTCTGATTTTTGGCTTTATTTTTCCTTATTTTCCTTATCCTATGTTTATCAATAAATTAAATCCAACTCTCTATTCTAGCTATGACAGATCCTGCCTGGAGTATTGCCTTAGGTATTAGGTTACAAGACTGGTTCTCGTTTAAATCTTCAATTTTAACAGATTTCTTTGAAATTGGAGTGGGGGGTGGGGGATAGCAACTCTTTGCCATTGGACTGGGGTGGAAGCCCCGAGTCTCCACTCAGGCTAGTGATGACACCTAGGGGAACAGCAGGCGTGCTCAGTTATACCTGGGTGGCCTACCTGAGTGGGGTGGAAGCCCCAGTTCCTCAGGTTGCTTCCAGTGACATAAAGGGGGGCAGAAGATGGCTGGTTACTACTAGATGGTAGTTAAAGTCCTGGTTCTCCATATAACTTCTTCTGTAACCACTATGGTGGGCAGTGGAAGGAAGTCGAGGTTGTCCACTTGACCTTGGTTGATGGGGTTGGAGGGCCATCAATTTTTTTCCTGTTGTTTTGTTGGAATACAATGTTTAATGTTTATTGTCAAAAAGTTTCTGGCTTCCTATGTTGCTCCTTTCTTAGTCCAAAGAGAGGGAAGTGTTTCTTGTTTTGTTAGTTTTCATCTGTGCTCATTGGCATTCTGGGTTGCAGGCTTGCCTAGCAACCAATCTGGGATATAAAAAAAGAAAACCCAAGGAACTCACTGCTGGGTCCTTTCTTAAGCATTGGGATATCCAGTCAGTCCATCTCTACCTTTCAGAGCCTTTATTTTTATTTTACAATATAATGTATAGTACTTTTAGCTGTACTTAGTGGGAGGGATTGGGGGAACTATGTTTACTCCATCCTGTCTAGAACCAGAAGTTCCAATTCTCTTTTTTGTTTTGTAATGTTTAATGTTTTAAATGGTCCAAAATGTGAAGACAACACAAGGTTAATGTGACATTTGATATTATCTCTCTTTTTGGTCCTCACAATATTCACCACATGAGAGACTCCTTCTAAACAGTGTCATTGTAAAAGAGTCCATTCTTTCTTACCTCAGAGCCCTTTCTCCATTCTCTTCTCCCTCATTTCCTCAACCCCTATCCCAACAACTCTCTTCCAAGACCTTATCTCACAGCCTAGCAGGGAAAACTACCATCTCCTAACATTAAACAATAGTAGATAATTCTGTAGATAGATACTTTCCCCTTCTGTGAGACAGCTTTTTCATTACTCTACAGGATATTCAACATCTGCATTCATAGTTTTTTAACCAGTGACCAGATCCACTGCCCAGCAAATGAGTAGGACTAAGTGGACTCATCAAAGTGATGATGAACAGAGCATCTCCCAAGACAAAGAGAGCATTCTTAGGTTTTAAAGACAACACCCGTCATTCATCCTTAGAGCCACAGGAAGCTAATTTCTGAGGGCTTTTTTTCCTATTTTTTTCTAGCATCAATCAAAAATGTTTTTCTTTTTAAATTGTTGTGCTAATTTTATTAAAAACTAAGATTCCAGTCTTTAGTTCAGTGAAATCCACATGTATTTTCCATAATATTGTAAGTCTTTACTCAACTGCCTGCCCAGGAGATTGTGGACTCCTTTAGGTGAGAAACTATGTTTCATTCATGGTTGGATTCCCCAAAGCTTAATGTGCTCAACAGTGAATTAATGAAATAAAATGATTCCTTGTATGAATCTCAAATCCTGCTTGGCTTTTTGTTTTTTAAGAAGTCCAAGAAATGGAAAAAACTTGGAGCCCTATTTATATCTAGAGAAGAGTAGAAATATTTATGCAGAGTTGCTACATACTGACTCATGGGCATGCACTGACATTCCAAGGACCTGACAATGAGTGCTCCCCCAATTCATGTCCCCATTCCCATGGTGGAGCCCTGAATCCCACACATTTTCCAGACTCTTACTGTCTATTCTCAGTGAAGAGAAGATACTCTTGCATTGGTAGCCCTGAGGTGATAGGAGCCTATAGGGTGAGGGTGGGGATACCCCTCAGTTACCTGGCAAGCATCAAAACTCTCATTCTCGTATCCAGCACACAGCATATTCTTGGTAAGTTTTGGAAATGTCTTTGAACATTTCTCCCAATCCATGATGATCATTGGCACTTTCATCAGATCAGTTTTCATAGAGTTTTTGTCATCTAGTCCACAGAGAAAGCACATTAGAAAAGTCACTAGATAGCAGTCTCAGTGCTGATAATGCAGCTAGATCACTCTGTGTATCCCTGCGTCCCACCAGCCACTTGTCTACCTTTCTTCATATCCTCCACTTTCCACTTCCTTCCAGTAATCCCATGCTATTCACTCATTCTACCATCCCAGTCTTTTCTAAACAACTCCCCACCTACTTGAATTATTCCTCTTATTCAAAATCATAATCCTGCTTCCAAGCAGGCTTCCTATTTAACTCCAACCAGCCCTAAAGAATTGACTTCTTGGAACTGGCTATTGATCATTCATTTCTCAACATAAGCTTGCCTCTTCAGCATGTATACCTATTGCTACTTTTTAGTGAGTATGCCACTTCCCCAACACAGGGCTGCTGAGAGTAGGTTTGTGCTCCTAGGGAAAAAGCTTTGAGGTCCTCCAGGCAAGGGTAGGTTGGCTAAAAGTCTTTATAGGGGATTTGCTAAAGCCCTTTCTGGACTGCCAGCTTCCAGGATTTTGTCTGAACTTCTATTTCATTAACTCAGATCACACAGTTTTCCAAATTCTTTTCCTTATTGAGTAGTTTTAATCTTATAGGTACCCATCTGCCTCTTCCTCACTTCTAACTATCCAGTAGTAACCCAGAAAGTGTTACTCTAGTTGTCCTCTAGTTATTAAACTCTTGAAATACCTACCATCCAGACCCCAGCTGGTTGCAAAGCTCCCCATGGACCTAGAGTCTTGTTCAGGCCTGAGACAGTGCTGTTCCCATCCCTTCCCCTATCTATTTTCTTTGGGGATAGTCCAATGGGGCTTTCATAATCCCTTTTTGCCCTAGTACAGCTCCTCCTTTCTTGGCCAAGTAACAATGTAACAACAAGTAACAACACATTCATTTCTAAGAATGGCTGGGCAAGACTCCAGGACCATCAAAAGTCTAGGCTGGGACAGGTATCTTGAATGCCTGTAGGAACCAGGTGGGAAACATTAATGTGTGAATCAAAGGAGATGTAAGAGAATAAAGAGTATGGGGGCCCCTGGCAAACTGGAGAGTTTAAATCCAGTTAAACAAACAAACAAGACTGCTCTGTGCTGGCTGAATATGACCACACCTGGCAACTGGCTTGGCGACTGGCATCTCAACTTGGGGCCTTGAGGAGATGCTTCTTTGGCACTGGGAAGGGGCTGAGATTTGGCCTCTGTGAGCCTCAGGTATGCAGGGATTTGTTCCAATGCAAGTCTTTTTCTCCTTCCTCCTTCCTTAACCATCTCTCCTTTCATGCTCCTGCCCACATCTTAAGATTTACTGGCCCATCCTCAGATGCCCGTGATGTGGCTCCTCCCCCAGCAGCTCTCAGGAGATGCTGAACAGTCACGTACCACTGCTGGTCTGACCCCATCCTGCCACCCAGCAGTTGTGCCACACGGAGGGGCTGGGCTTTCTGGGCATGCAGATGGGCTCTGTCAGTCCATTGAATGTGATGGGTGAGTCCAACAGCAGCAAGGCAATATCATTGTCCATGTTGTGTCTTTGAAAGTCCTTGTGAAGAACTATTCTGGTAACACCCTTTATTTCCACAGATGAGCTTCTTAAGTCATTGCTTCCCAGCACAACACTCAAGTCCGTTGGACTGGTGGCATAGAACCAGAGAGGGGGAAGTGGGAGGAGAAGAGAAGTCATGAAGCACACAGAATTTAATTTGCCCAAAAAACCTAAATCCCATATAGTTCTAGGGGCTGTTAAGACTTGTCCTACTGGGCCTGTTGCTCAGAAGATGTAAGAATTTGAAAAAGATAAAGGGAAGTGAAACAGCAGGAGCGGCAGACTACAGCTAAGTTGCTGCTCCAGCACAAGTCCTAGAGATATGAGATACCCCTGTCTAATGTTACAGAGAAAGTACTTAGCTTTGGGGACTCCAAAGAATACACAGGAGACCACTTGGCATAGATCAAACTTGCTTCAGATAGGTAAGGTATTATTACATTGATTTGTCTACAAACAACTTAGAGACCCAGGCTCAGTATTTAATCTAGACCTACCACTGATTAAGCAGAAAGAATCTTTAATAATAATTTAGGCATTTCCTCCAGGCAGAATGGCCAGAAACTTCCCAATAGCCAATCCTTAAGTATATCATGGAAGTATATGCAACAAGTTTCCTTGGTTATGCCATGGTGAAACTTTCCCGTTTTTTATTAACTTTTAAAAGTCAGCCTTTCTGTGTATCTTCAAACTTTCTTGAGGTGGTGTAGCAGGTATAGCAGAAAGCATAAGCACTGTAGCCAGGATTTAAATCTTATTTCTGTTTACTATGTGTGCACTGTGGGTGAGTCACCCAGCCTTATTGGACCTGTTTCCCTTTCTATAAAAATAGGGTTGTTCATTCTACCTGCCTCAGAGGGTTATTGTAAGATTGAATGAGTTAAAATGGGGTTATTCATCTACCTTCTTCAGGGTTGATGTCTGAATGAATAAGTTAATGCAGGTAATTTCTTAGCAGGTAACTAATTCATGACTAGTAACCAGTAAATTCTAGATTTACATCCAGTATCCTAGCGTGCAGAGAAAACTCTCCAAGGAGCAAGTAAATAGGGTGTCAGATAGCCCAGGATCCCAGACTTCCAGAATTAGCAGAATTTCCTTCTAGAAGGACTTACATGTCCTAGAAGAGGTGGGTGGACCAAGGCTTTGGCTCCACCAAACCATGAATATTCCTGAAGAGGACAGTGTGTAACCTCAGGGAAACCACAGTTATTGGTCCTGGGTGACAATGAGGAGGGCACAGCAGATGCCATCTTCAGGTTCACTGCCTCCTCCTCCCTGGGGCTGGAAGGGTTGGGTGGTAGTCATTCCTGTCTGACTCAGGACTGACCAGGTCTAGGATTTCCCTTAGCAATCAAGTTTTGCTGAGTGTTCGGGGTGCCTGGGGATGAACACAGTCAGAAGCAACAGGGACGGGCTCTTGGATACTTACAGTAGCTCTTCAAAAACTACACAGTGAAGAGCAGTGATAATCCACCACTTGTTGATGATTGAGCCGCCACAGAAATGTTCATTTCTTGCCTGAATACTCACCTGCCACGGGAACTCACCCACCTCAGCCTCCATCCCCCCTATGATTCTGGAATACTGAACTCTTCCATCAAAAATTGGTCTTTTACCACATTCTGGTAGAATGAAAGAGAAAAAAACAGGAAAAGATGCAACACAGTCAATATCCATGGAGGCTTATAAGTAGTTATCATTATACCCATTCTAGAGATGAGGAAATTGAGGCTGGCCCAATGAAGCACCTCTAGGAATATGAGAAAGGCAACAGTTGCTTTATTTTGTTGCACAGAGTCTGCGACATGGGTCAGAAGTGTTGGCTCTGTCCCCTCTCCAGCGTTGTGATCTCAAACAAGTCACTTCACTGAGCTTGTTTCTACTCTAGTCTAAGAGAAATCAGAGGAAAATACGTGTCCAGAGCCATCTCTGGAGTGTTAGGCAGAATAATGCCCCCGCCCCCAATAGATGTCCATGTCCTAATGGACCATGCCCTGGAACTTATGACTACACTACCTTTCAGGGAAAGGGGGACTTGAGAGATGGAATTAAATTTGCTAATCTGCTGCCCTTAAAATGGGGAGATTATCCTGAATAATGTGAGTGGGCCCAATGTAGTTACAAGGGTCCTTAACATGGTGGAAGGAAGCAGGAGATATGACTATGGTAGAAAGGTATGCAGAGATGCATGCTGCTGGCTTTGAAGATGGTGGGGCTATCAGCCAAGCAATACAGATGACCTGTAGAAGCTAGAAAAGGCAAGGCAAAAGATTCTCCCCTAAAGCCTCAGATCAGGAACAAAGTCCTGCTGACAGCTTGATCTTTGCTCAGTGAGACCTGTGCTGATTTTTATCCTACAGAAATGTAAGATGAGAAATGGGTGTTGTTTAAGTTTGTGGTGGTTTGTTATAGCAGCCATAGGAAACACACATGCAGGAAACCAGAAAGGTGGCCCAGAAAGGGCATGGACTTCCTGCAAGCCCTGAGCCTGAGCCCTTCTAGGTTAGAACATTCTATTCCAGGCAGAGCAGCTCCATGTCCTGAGACGCTGAGAGCAAAGGCTGTGGCTGCTCATGCAGAGAAGAGAAATTCACCTCTGGACAGAGTACAGGTCCAACGCCTTGCCCCCAGGAGGAGGAGCCACTCCATTTATGGTGGTTGACTTAACTGTCGCCTTGTGTTCCAGGACAAGGAATGAGTTTGACTCTAAGGAGCCTAAGGTCTCCTCTTGTCTCTTTCTTGATGCCACTTTTCCAACTTTTCACTTACTAAAGGTTTTGAGGATTTTGTAGTGTGGGTCGGAGTGACCCAGTAGTGGTCATGCTTTGCTTAAAAAAAAAAAAAAAAAACTAGAGTGAAAATTTAGCAATTTGTGTCAAAGGCCTTCAGCTGTCAGTAATCTATAAAGGCTCTTTTCAGAACCTTCGGATCTGCACTTCCTCTTTTATTTACCAAACACAGAGTGCTTACTATGTGTCATGCATTGTTACAAACATTCTACAAAGACCAGTTTACTTAATTTTCATAATAACGCTATGAGGTCAGGATAAAAAATCATATATGAATGTATGGGTTCAATCATGTTAACAAGCTGGCCTGATGCGTGTGGGAGGAAATGTGTCATGATACTAAGAGTGATAATGAGCTTGAAGCTTGATCAAATGATGGATGACTGCTATGGGTACCAATCGTGTGACATCTCTGAGAAGCAGAATATGGCATTTGCTAAGAGGGTGGGCTCTGGGGTCCCACAGCCTAAATCCGAATCCTGGTTCTGTTGCTTACTGCCTGAATGATTTCAGTAAGCATTGGGGAAAACCACTTATCCTTGCTTACCCTCCCTTTCTTCATTCCTAAAAATGGACCTACCCTATAAAACAGATGTTTCACAGCTTAAATGAGATAGTGGGCACTGAGGTGTCCAACACAGTGCTCAGCACAGAGTAAATCCTCAAGCCACATTAGCTGTCAGAATTTCTTATATCATCTTGGACCAAAGGCTTCATGGGGCTGTCAGCTGGGCTCCATTCTCCACCTTTGAACTGAGAACACCAGTGTAGAATCGTGTGGACTTGTCAATTAATACTAGAGCACAAAATCCCTAAGCAGTGATGGAGGCAATGCTGAAACGGGTGAGAATCCACAGCAATTGTAAACACTGGAGAGGGCTGCGTTCTGCTGATTCTCTCCCAACACCACACACCACCCCCGACTCACATTTCAGCCAACGCCCAGGCCAGAGTGAGGGAGGCCAGGTGAATAGGCTGTGTTCTTTTCATGGGGTAGTGTGCAGAAAGGGAAATGCAGGCCCTGGAGTCAGATGGGTACAAAATCCCAGCTCTTCCGCTTCCCCGCTGTGTGACTTGGGACAAATCTTCAACCTTCATAAGGCTCAGAGTTCCTCACGCATGCATGGGGCTGAGAGTGGAGACCCCACTGTGGTAGGATGGAAATTAAATGTGGGGAATTACCTGACCCATGAGAGCAGCTAAGTAACCCAGCTTCCCTATAACCTCAGCCACCACTTAGAGAGAGAACCCATCAGGGAACCAACTGTGAGGAGCTGCCCATTGAGAACAGAAGGCCCTGGACTTCCGCCTCTGTGCACACACATGCTTGTGCCCAGCTAGGCTTCTGCTCTACACCTGCAGTTCCCCGGAGCTCTGTCATGCTCCTGACCCCCATGCTCTTCTTCCCCTGATTTGGAGGTCTGATGTTCAGCTCATTCTGGGCACTTGCTTCTAGGCACTCCATTACTCATTCAGAGATAAAGTTTAGGATTTCAAAACTGAAACGTAAGGTCAGACTGGTTGAACTTTGGACTGGGGAAGAGAGGAGAAGAAAGGGAAGTATTTTTGAGGGGGGTATGTGGGGAACCCTGAAGCTACTGCTCTTGTGCTCTTGTGAGCCAGCCTCTTACTGACCAATTAGCTAATTAATGAGCTCAATAACCACATCTCTCTCTTAGCCCTTAATGCTAACCCCTGACTGGATGAAAGTGATGTGAGCAGGGCCATTGTCATGCCCAGCCCCACCTGGGAGAGCTGCTCTGGCCACTGGGAGAGGAGCCTACATACCAACATGTACGCCCTTGGCTTGGGACGTGAGCAGCAGAATTGATAACAGGAGCATGGCCCTTGGCTTTGCTGTTGGCCTAGGAGGTGATGGAGGCCAGGGCTGAGGGAAATGATGCTGACAGAGCCTCCCTTCTTATAGCCAGTCCCTGGCTGACGATGTCACAATGGGCTGTGGCTTTGAGAACTTAGGTCATACAGGCTTCTCTTCTTGCCATTTTGTTTCTAAGATGGTTGCTCAGAGGGACCGCATCCTTGATGGTATCTGGTCTCAACTTCCCTTCCCACTGATCTGGGCAGGACCCATCCCTCACTGGGTCCTTGATGGGCACCTTGCTTTTGGCCCTTGTCACTCCCGCGTGTTTTATGGCTCAAATGCCTCCTCTTTCACAAGGCCTGTTATGTCAGGGGTTCTCCGTGAATTTGTGCATAAGGCCTAAGGGAAGGGTTGTCAGGCTGGACCTACAGACTGGGGAGGAGATCCAGGAGCCCACTGCCACCCTACCCAGTACATTTGCCCTCATAGTTTCCTGCTCAGGCCTCTGATCTTGGGCTGTGGCATGAACCTCCCAGGCTGGATTCAGAGACCCTGGCCTCCCCTCATGCACAGCCCAGCAGGTGACAATCCTTGCAGCCACCACTTTCTGGGTTGATTATACATGGCCCCCAAATCTCCGGATAGGCCCCTGTCTGTTCATAGATGGGAAGATCAGCCTCAGAGGTGGAAATGCCTGGCCATGGCTTCTCTTTATGTCAGCAGCTCAGTCATGGGATTTGGACCTTACTATTTTTTCCCATACTTTAAACACACTGACTTGGGTGGACCCTACCCAAGCCGCCTCAGTACTGCCTTCCTGGCCACTGGCCAGGTCCAGTAGTTGAAAGTGAATCACACTCATTTCAGTTCCCAAAGTGACCACAGTTAATTTTCCCAGAGTGTCTACTCTGCCCAGCCTAGCTCCCATGGTTTTCTTACCCACAGAAAAGGAATAATAGGGTCCACCAGTAAAGTCATTGTGAAGCTCAAAACAAGATTATGTTACTCGGGTGATGGCCCATTTTTACTATAACAAGGGTGTGGCTCCAGCTACTTCTTGAGAGGAGAAATTCCAGGACAGGTGACTTACTCCTTCTCTTATCCCATGGAGAGAGCTGCTCCTCAGCACCCTGGGGTCCACTCTGAGGGTTGGACCAGGGCCTGTTATGTGGTCATGGGACAGTGCAACCCCCACCTCTTCTGAATAATATGTAATCTGCCTCCTCAAACAGAGGAGGACTGATGAAGGGCTAACCCTTTTTTTCTTTACTGGAATATGGGTAAAAATACCAAAGCATACTGAGTGACCAGGCCCTAGTCTCACCACCAGAGAGCTCCGGGCTTTCCTTCTGCTCTTCCTTTAGACTCAGCTCTCTCCTCCCCTGGACCTGCTACTCCCACCCCTGCTGAATGCTGGTTGTTTTGCCCTTTGCTCAGGTTCTGGGGGTGGGGTGTGGCGGGGAGGAGGAGCCTGGGCCCTAGGTCTGATTCTGAGAAAGGAGGATGCCCGTTAATCTCACTTGTGGGGAGGCAGAGATAATGGGCAGACCCCCACACTAAACTGCTGCTCATTTTCTACAGAAGTATCTGGACAAAAGCACAGCTCTCCTCTAGGAAGATCCATTTCCTTCTGGGTCTAATATTCCTTCTGTTAATGAGACTGGGCCCTATTTCCTGTGAAATACTCACTCACTGCCCAGCATTATTATTATTTTTTAATTTTTATTTATTCATTTATTTTGTGTGCCAAGCTTCTTTACAATAACAACAGATTGCAAAATGCCTGAACCAATGGAGGGGAGAGATGGGTAGGGACAGAGCTACTGTGCACAGCCACACCTCCAGAGGGCGCCAATCCCATAGACTACAACGGGACTCCCTCCCCCTGGAATTGGGCAAACATGGGGGCTCAGCTGTGAAGAGAAACTTCAGTGCTCTATAAGGAATCTAGAGAAATCCAAAAAGGAAAGAAGGCACATGATGACATAGGTTGCCCAGGGTCTGCTGCCTGACTGATGCTTCAGAGGCCCCCAAGGTGGCATTATCATGGTGACTTTATTTACCACAGTCCTGACCAATAGATATCTAACTTTGCTGTGTAGCCTGGGGAGCTTGTTCAGTGCAGATTAAGGTTGCCAGATTTATCAAAGAAAAATACAGGATGCCCACTTAATTTTGAATTTCAGGTAAAGAACAACTATATTTCTAATATGTGTGTACCCCTTGCAATGTTTGGAACATACATACACTAAATATATATATATATATATTCATTTTATCTGAATCCTAATGTATCTGGAGTTCTGTATTTTCTCTGGTAACCAGGGGTGATTTCCAGGCTTCTCCCTTCAGATGCTGATCCAGTGGATTGGAGGGGAGGAGAGCCAGATCTAAGCATTTTAACAGCTGCTTCCAGATGATTCCAGTGGAGAGCATCCTGAACGACTTGGAGAAATGTCAGTCAGGCTTAGGATAGAGAGCTTCCTGGGGTCCCTGGGAAGCTGGTGCTGGAGTCTGACTCTACCTGGGAAATCTGGGGAGCAAGAGAGTGTCTGGCCAACCACTTAGGGTCTGGGACAGTACTGCTGTGGAGGGACTGCTGACCCTCCCCTTCCCCCCCCAGTTTCTGCAGTGTGGGCTGCACAGGGGAGAGAGCCAGTCAGGGATGTCTGAGGATCCACCCACAGGGCTTCCCAGTGGGGGCAAGAGGACCCCAGAGGAAACAGGCTGGGGAGGTGTTACCAGGCTTGGGAGCTGCAGGAGAAAGGAGGCCAGCAGGGAACCACAGAAGAGCCCATGAAAACACCACCCTAAAAGTCAGCAGGAAATGACTTCTAGGCCCAGAGGTCAGGAAGCTGATGTTTGGGCTAGCTCACCTTTATCTGCACCCTCTCCCCAACTTTGATCCCTGCCAAGAGTGAAAGGGCAGCTCAAGGTGGGGGAAGATGAGCAGAACCAGAGGTGAAAAAAGGCCCCTGTCCCTAAATGGACCCAGACTGGGAGAGGGAGATTTAACAGAGTCAGATTTCAGCCTCTGGAGTATGACAAGGGTTTAGATATTCTAATGCCTACATGGAAACTGGGTTTGGGACTCAAGTGCCTGTAGGACTATTATCTCTGAACAACCAAAAGGTGTACCTGGAGCTTTTTTATCTGGGCAGGACAAATCATCCCTAGTGAATGGAGTTTAAAAAAATGGTGGGGGACACAAATAAAGCTGTGTCATGATCACAGTCCATGCATTGCACTTGTTCAAACACAGCAGTTGTATTACCCATTGCATTCTTCAGAGCCTTTACAGTTGGGAAAGGTCTGGCTAGAACTTCATGATTTCTCCATTTACAGCAGTTTGCTGAACATCAACTGTGGGGAACGTACTCATCCATACAAGCATGGGCAAGTCACCTAGCTCAGGGAGGCAAATGTCGGGTAGGACTGCCATGCTCCACCCACCGCCACCTCCAGCCCCCAGCTCTCATGACAGATGCGGCCAATTGATCGTAACTCCTTTCTGCTGAGCCAAGATGTGGCCACAATATGGCCATTTAGGCAGCTGTTACCAGACGATCAGACAAAACCCATTGTTATTGTTGGACTATGACCTTATGGTTACAAGAACCTCACCAAGTAATGACGTAGCCAGAGAGTTCAGAGGATGCATCTGGTCTCCTCTCTGACTTTCCTGCAGAGGCTTGCTGCCCCTAAAACTTGTGTATCCATTTATATTGTACTGTATTATTTAGTAGGTGGTTTGCATGTTGTACTAGAGATGATTTCTGAAGTCGGACATACTTAGCTCCAAATCCTGCTTCCACTACTTCTATAAAGGATCATGGGCATGTTATTTCACCTCTCAGAGTTTTGCTTATTTCTACACAGGGTATAATAGGAGCTACCTTTTAGGGTTGACATGAGGCTCAGGCTGTGGTCACAATGCCTCTTAGTCACTTCTGACAACTATAACAAATTCAGTTGACCCTTGAACAACATGGGGGTTAGAGACACCGACCCCACTCCTTGCAGCTAAAATCCACATATAATTTTGACTCTCCAAAAACTTAACTACTAATAACCTGCTGTTCACTGAAAGCCTTACCAATAACATAAACAGTTGATTAATACATATTTTGTATGCTATATATGTTATACACTGTATTCTTACAATAAAATAAGCTAGAGAAAGAAAATGTTACTAAGAAAATCATAAGGAAGAGAAAACATATTTACAGTACTGTACTGTATTTATTAATACCATAAGTTTACATCATCTGTTTACAGGATGAATTGTCTGTCAGTGCTTACATCAACAGTCTTATATGATACAAAACACTGTAGGTATTATACATATTACTAACACTAGTAAAAAATGAAAAGAGAAAGTGAAAAAGAAATTCATGTTTTTTACAGGTATAATGATATGTGCATTGAAGCAGCAATATGATTGCTTTGTGGTAGCGTAGTGTAATTGATATGATTGCTTCATGGTATCCTCGCTTATACACTAATGAATGAATTGTAAAATTTTTATGGCATGTAGTATTACATATTCACAATACAGTATTAGTAACATTGTTACAGTTTTTTTTAAACCATTTACCTGTGATAATAGGCTGATATGCAATTTCTCCAATTATGAGGAATTTGTTTATTGTTTCGGGCTTGATGGCTTTCATGGCTTTTCTTACAACAACGATGGCATCTTTGATGGTGTAATCCTCCCAGACTTTCATGATGTTCTCTCTGTCAGGGTTCTCTTCCATTGCATTGGCAAAGCTTTACATAGACTGTCATGTATAATGAGCCTTAAAAGCCCTTATGATTGCCTGATCTAGAGGCCTAATTAGAGACATTGTGTTTGGGGGCAATACCTCTGGTGTTTGAACTCATGGGGCTCTGTGTGGCCAGAAGCATTTCCGGCGTCAAATGGCATTTCTTTAAAAGGCAGCCCCTGGGGCACCTGGGTGGCTCAGTTGGTTAAGTGGCTGCTTTCGGCTTAGGTCATGATCCCAGGTCCTGGGATCGAGCCCCACATCAGGCTCCCTGCTCAGTGGGGAGCCTGCTTCTCCCTCTCCCTCTGCTTGCCACTGCCCCTGCTTGTACTCTTTCTCT